GGTCCCGGCCGCCGCCGCCGGCCTTGCAGCTCCACTGCCGAGCCCCATGAGGGGCCCGGTGGTGGACCTGCAAGGCCAGCGGGAGTGCGAGGAAGCCCCGCGAAGGCCCTCCCTGGCCCCAGGCAGGCAGGGGTGGGGAGAGGCAGGGAGGAAGCAACTTACCCTCCCTCTTCTCCTGCCTCCTCCTGGCTGAATGAGGGCCGGAAGTGGGGCGGCCGGAAGCAGGGGGCGGGGCTTCGTCATGTGCCCCGCCCCCCGTACCTCACCCGGGGGAACTGCGATCCCCCGCGATCCCCCCCGAAATGACCTCTGCCTGTATCTCTAATTCACTAACTTCAGCGTGTTCAGAACTGGCTGCATGCGGCTCCTCAACTCCTGAGGAGTCTTCAGCCACACTGGACTCAGGCTGGTCAGGCTGGCCCACGACACCAGGTGAATCTCGATCCCCTGCAACAACTGTGTATCATTCATACATGTACTGAGGGATGGGAGGGGACCGAAACTGATCACAAAGACATCTTCAGTCAGTTGCCTCAAAAGCATCAGATAATGTTTCCTCTTCAGTCACCAGCCAAAGGGATGACTGGGGAATGGGAAGGCTGAGAATGTTAAAGGACTCAAGCTATAGGTGTATTTTAATCTGAGGCCGGGAAGTTTGATTTCACATGACCAGTCCCACGAAAATAGAAACTGAACCAGTTTTGAAGTGTCTTCCATATTTGATGTCTCCCGTAGTGCTCAGCAGAGAAGCAGCCAGATGAGCAAGAAGAAAGCAGCCGGTAATCAGGTAGGTTCAGTTAATTCCCATTACAGGCTGTGATTTCAAGCTGTGAGATGGACGCACATTTTTGCTTTGCAGGCTGTGGAAGGAGACAGTGTCCATATAATCATGAAGATGGGATGAAACTAAAGGCCGTCTAGTTCCGCCCACTGCACTGAAGCAAAATGATCCATATCACAAAGGAAAACAGTCCTAAGAGATGGATCCACAATTGGGCTTTAAACTACAGTTGAATAATTGGCGACATAAAATAGCTAAAACTGTAACCGTGTGTTTGTTACCATCTAGCTTAGTCCTGGTTGACTAGGGCTGGGGTAAGTTTCTTGAATTAATCATTGGCTACATGCCATATTGAGTGAATTCTGACTAGGGCATTTCCATGTGATTAAACACACACACACACACACACACACACACACTCTTTTCTCTGGTGCTAGAATTATGACATCTGTACTTTTTCAGTGAAACAAGGGGTAGCTTTGCTGGAAAGAAAAGAACCCAGCTGCATGAGGACTGCCATAGTCCTGTTTGGTTTTGGAGGGGGAAAATGTTTGTTTAATCTAAAAAGGCTTGTAGTTTTTGGAAATCCCATTCTCAGAGCATGCCATTCGGGTACTGTTCACTTTGTGCATGGTTGCTATCTTTTGAACTGGCCCCTACATACTGTTCTGCAATGGCTAACAACAGGCAGTATTCAGCATCATGCTTTGGAAAGCTTCATTTGCTGATTTCAAGCCTTAACTCGAAGAGACAGGATCAGGTCAGGACAGTGTTTTGTTTTTTCCTGGTCATTTGGCAACCCTGCTTCCTACAACGCTAATGTAATCTTGGAGAGACCTTAGAGCGTATCCATACCTGAGATATAAACTATTTCAATGGTAACTCCCACTGCCTAGAACAGAGGTGTTGAACTCATTTGTTACAAGGGCTGGATCTGACATAAATGTCACTTTATCAGGCCGGGCTATGTGTATCATAAAAGGTAATGCCAGGTTTCGGAGATATAAACTTTATAAAGGACACAGGCAAACCCAAGTAACGATATAATTTTTTTACTCAAAATACAAAGAAAAGCAATGGGTTCCTAGGAGTGAAAGCAATTGCTTTACTGGGAAAACCACAAAAGCCCCAATAATTGTATTTAATCATATACAAGACTAGTTTTTCCCCAAGGGATACCATAAAAGGGGGAGTACATTATATTTCCATACATACCAGTTGCTTGCAGGCCGAGTGAGAGCCTTGGGTGGGCCAGTTCTGGCCCCCGGGCCTTATGTTTGACACCCCTGGCCTAGAACGTTGAGCTGTAAGAGGCCAGGGATCTTTAATATTGAAGTCTCACTCACTAGACTACAGTTTGTGGGATTTTGTGGGGGAAAGCCATGCTAGGTAATCCGATGTAAAACCAATACAAATGTGTAGCGTAGAGATATCCTTACGTAGACTATTACCTTTTCTTTCAAAGCCATTTCTGAAGGTAAGATTTTACTGGTTTCTCTCCCAAATCCAGATCATGGCAAGCTGCATTCCTTAACGCACACAGTGTCTGTTGCCCCCGAAAGAGGGGGTGCGTAGGACTACCAAGGATCCATTCAGTCTGTTAACGGCTCATTTTTGGATTGGGCTGTAGCCAGCGTGTGCTTTTTAAAACAAATTCCTTCCCCCCATGTACCTTAGCAGATTTTACTTTGAGATATGGGCTTGATGATGTTTTTGCAATTGAAATACTAATTTGGCAAAAGATTTTGATTATAAATGTTTTATTTTTCCCCCCATTTCTGGGGCCTAGTTCCTAGTTTCTTTCTCCTGCTCCCGCTTTCTTGAGTAATGATATCTCTTTTCTTTGCTCCTGTCTTCTCTGCTGCCTGCTGTTGTTGCTATGGTCCCCCTTTTTGCAGGATGAGATCCTGGTGAGTAAAAGGCCAGTTGATGTGCGGTGCTAACTAGTACTAATTTAGGTGCATCTGGGGGAAAAAAACCAGAAATCCTTCCATCTGTTGGCAGGCCAGGGCGTGGAGAAGGAAGTAAAACCCAATGATAGGTCCAGGTGAATGGGATACAGGGAGAGCAAAGGCCATGAGAATTTAATCACCCATCTGGGTAGAGTAAAGTAGGTAGAGAAGAATTGCAGGGAGATCTGGATTGTGAAATTATTGCTCCCTCCGTCAAGACGAAAAGGCAGTCCAGGTGGCTACACGCTTTACAAGGCAGATGTAATGGCTGTGGGTATACTGTTCCCCCCCCCCCGCACAAACATGAAAATTTGGTGGCCAGCATACTGTGTCTTTAAACACTTGTTTAAATGTTTGCTGTGGGAAGCCCTGAGGTAACAGGAGTGCTCTGTGTAAAACACGGAGCTGCCCTCAGGCCAGAATGAGGCATGGTGGCAGCAGACCCATGCCTTCAACTGTGGCTGTGCCTAAATCATCATGTCTAAGGCAGTAGGGGTCTACCATTTGAAAGACCAAAGGGGCTTGTGGGAGTGGATGCTGAATCCTGCCTTCCCCTAGACCCATACCTGCTTATCTTTAGCAAGGTACATAACATGTTTCTTCCGACCATACCATGGGATCTTTATTCTCCCAGCAGGGATCATCATTTCTGCCCCAGTTGTTGGGGAAAGGATTTAAAAGGACAGATTGTGGATTAAAAGCAGTGGAAGGGAGGAATACCTGCTTATCTTTAGCAAGGTACATAACATGTTTCTTCCGACCATACCATGGGATCTTTATTCTCCCAGCAGGGATCATCATTTCTGCCCCAGTTGTTGGGGAAAGGATTTAAAAGGACAGATTGTGGATTAAAAGCAGTGGAAGGGAGGATTCAGCAAAGGGCCTGCATCCTCATCGGATGCTTTAAAGGCGATTGAGGACATGCGTTGTCCTCTGTCAAGCATCATTTGTGAGAAAGGACATCCTAGAATGTTTTTCTTGCAGTCAGGCACGCACAACTGGGGCCCCATAGAGTTGAACACACCAGTCATGTGTGGTGGCCCACCAGGGACATAAACCTTCTATTTGTGTTGCCTCCCTGAGATGGCCAAAACGGAAGGAAACCATCAGACACCTGGTTGGCCACAATACATAGCTAGCGGAGGCTGCATTTGGCTTGATGGCTCACAAGTTGCACTGGCCTGCCGTATCCATTTCTGTTCCCAGAATTAATTCCAGTTGCAGGACTTTGGATTCTCTGGTTAGAGAATTTCAGACTTCTTGTGAGGCATTCTGCCTGAGTTTTTGTGCAGCAAGCAAGAGAAGCTT